AGAAAATAAAGCCCTTATCTCTATTAATTTATAGAGCTATATTTTGTCATAAATGTAAAATTTGTGATTTACTGTTTAAATATCACATTTCCATGCATTTATCTAGAAAAATGTGAATTAAACTACTGTAGTTGTTCATCATTTTCAGAAAATTTGCAAGAAAGGACATCTTTGTTTCAACTTTCTAGTGTAATTTTTTAGTCCAGATTCAGATTAATGGAAACTATATTGATGTATACAGTTTGCGATAAGATACGTTCTTATCTGTTGTAAATATATATTTTATAATTAAAATAGGAATAGTATGTTTTAAGAAGATGTTTTTATATTTATCTATTTTATATTCTATATGTTGTAGCATAAACTTGTGTGTTTCCCTTTTATCTGGACATCTATTTATATGCATAAGTTAATAGGAAAGCATGTACTAGTATGTGTCAAAACAAAATACAAAAGAACAAAATCTGTAAATGAATCAATTTAACAGTAACATTATGAAATAGTGTCTAGATTTGGAGCCGACAAGTGGTTTTATTTTGTTAATGTGGCTATGCATAATAGCTTGATTTGTTTGAACGCAGTGCTGGGATAGTCATTAGTGGTGTTTTGTTTTTGTTTCTCAACCACTTTTGCACTATCCAAACACAATGTCAGGTCCCTATGGCCCATCTTTGGTAACGCAGGCATGGTCTAAAATTTGCACTTCATTCATGATGAATGTAACTTGTGTTCCAATGATGCTATGTGCTTATATGATTATTGTGATGTTTTCTTTTAAATCATTTGTTCATTTCTTGCATAGAATATTTTTTCATGCTATTTTGTTGATACATGTACTGTTTTATTTTTGAAATAACATTTTTAATAAAACTCGGAAATTATGCTTGGTACAAATTCCCACTGTATTATTTGTGGTTAAGCATTTTTGTGCAATTTTTAGCTTATATCAACATGTTTGTTACGGAAGTATTTTATTTATTTACAAATGTTGAACTCTCTTTGAAGATATCTTGCTGGTCACGACTAGAATTCTTATTTGTGCCTTGGTGTGATGTAGTCAATTTCATGATTCTTAATTTTGTGTGGTTTTCTGTACAGAGGCAAAATTTCATCCTATGCTTCAGTCAGATTTGGCAATACATGGGTCTATTGCAACAAATGTATCATATCTGTTATAAAGCACAGTTGATCATACCAGGTTTCAATTTAACTATGCCCTCTATGGCCAAGTGGTTTATGTCAGTGACTTTAAATCAAATGCCCCTAACCTCTGTGGGTTCAAATTCAGCCAAAATATTTTTAATTGCATAATTGCAGAAACTGCTTAGCTAGCTATCATTAGATCAGTAATGCTACTGCTATATGACATTTACAGGGAAAATAAAAGTAGCTGGCTATCTGATCATCATTTTAACTTATAAGCTTCTTTTTTTCCCCATTACTTCACTTTTCAGATATTTGTGTTATGCCACAACACATTTTGAAGTGTTCTATTTACAACCTTAACTGTAGACTGGGCAAAGTATTTCTATCGTGTGACTTCTCGTTAGTTATGGATTTAAAAGGCTGCTATACACCCTTTTTTGTTGATGTTTTAGGTTCATCGGTTTCATTATTATGGAAAATTGTTTGTTGGTGCATTTACTTTTTATTTAATTCATTTTTATTTTTTTTCATATATTTGTATCTACCCATTTATATCAGAATAAAATAGGTATAACTCTTTAATTTACTATATTTGTTGTAATTGCTCGTCCAGCATAGGTGTTACATTGTATTATACAATTATTGATTAAAGGAGCCATTGAATATGTGATATTCATCGGTTAACGTCATCGCCTCGGGCAATATGACATTTAGGAACATTGATTTTGAGATACATTGAGTAGATGAATTTTTCCTCACCTGTAGACTAGCTGGAGATTTTCAAGATTATTAATTAGCCACAATGAGAAGAAAGTTATATCAATCCTAATCCAGCTTGAACTATAATTGGTTAACCCCTGCCACCAGTGAAGCCAGCCTGCACTTTCGTGCAGTTTGACCAGGCTGACAAAGTTAAAATTTTTGTTGAAAAAAATTTCTCCAAAAATGGAAGCTTGACAAGTCCATATGAAAGAAATTTGGCAGTGTATCACAAGTAATAAGTTGTGTCGCTTGCTGTTCTTGTACAAATATAAAACTACCAATAAATCCGACATTGTTCATGTATTTATTCAACCTTAACTATGGTTTATTAAAAAGAAACAACAGGATAGATTTCATCAATTTACTATAACATGTCAAAATTATCACATGTTAATAAAGAATCATGATACACGTAACAAGGCACGGGTTTTATCCCTGCTTAAATAATGAAATGTTTAAAACATGTCTCAACACATGCAATGCGTATTTACAGAAAAATTAAATGGAATAAAATACATAAAAACCAAGAAAGTTAAACCTCCCTATGGCAGTATAGCCATCATAATATTATTCAAAGAATAAATAAATCTAGTGGTCACTTCATTACAATAAATTATGACAAAGTAACCTTAAGTATTACATAAAATAAGCATAAAATTTATGGACAATGTCATTATTACTGGCTCACTCTGAAGCCATGTTCTGTCCATATTCAGTAAATAAGTTATGAATTTATAAATTACTATCAAACAAGTTAACACAAAATTGTTTGTCAGTGAATCAAAATACACATATCTGATTTAATTCTGAATATGACACCCTATTCATAATTATTTTCTGAATATAACTTGTCTTAAAAAAATATCAAAATAATCATGTTGATTCAAACAGTTACGGTGATAATACATGTGTAAAAAAAAATCTTAGCCTTACCAATGATTATTTAAAAACTAAGACAAAATTAATTCATGGTATCTATAAACGAAATACAGTCAATATAAACGAAATACGGTCAAACTGAAAGTAACCCAGTTTATTTTGTATAATGAATAATAAAAGAAAATGGTGACCCAGAATCAGAACGGTTCTATATATGAATAAAAAATTAAACAGGAACATAGTACATGTATGTATATATAAATTAAGTATATGTTTTTACATGTCAACTTGGTCAATGAAGATGAAACATTGTGATATGACATTAACAGATTCTTGTGACAACTGATATTAACAATGGTACTTATTTACAATGATATAATGTTGACAAAACTGCAAGCGTAATCTACGGGTGTGTTGGAAATGAACAACTATGAGCAAATCAGGCGAGTAACAACGACAACATTAACAACAACTGATCACAAAAGGGAACCAGAATCTACTGCATCTGCTATCATTCAACAAGAACACAGCTACCCTCTAAAATATTTCATAAATTATCATAACCAGACTATTTTGAGATAATATTCACATGAATATTATCTTTACTTAACACTCTAGCATTTTTAATACATGTTTACTGTAGAAAATTAAAATAATGTTATAAAGTAATATAAATCATGACTGAATGACCAGGTATTGGACTAATATATCTATGCATTTTATCAGCAATATAGCATTTCTTTTGTCTTCTCAGTGCTTCTCCTATTACAATAGTCTAACCAATTATAATCATAGTCTAAAATTATATGGTGATAATACATGGGTATTCATGAAAAAAAAAAATAAATACACATGTTTCTCAGTATTAAGTAACATTTTTTTTCAACAAAGTTTTCTCTTAGGGGACTTTAACAATACACCATAGATTTTCCTACATACCCAAGAAAAAACGTAAAAGATGGTAAGGACATAAAAAAATAAATTAAATTAAACTCGTATTTTACTGTTTATATTATTATTTGTAACATTAACATTTAAAACACATGTAAGACAATTTTGCAGTAAATTTTATATGTATTATATATAATATCTAAGTTAATTTAAAATGTGCCTTCACAAAGAGCAATATATTCACGGAATTTTAACATTGTATATCTTAGAAATATTATAAGAAAAGACTTCCAGTAAAAGTGTATATCCTAGAAGGAAGGTAAAATCCAGTAATTGAGCTACCAACAGTATATAGCCCGGTCAGACTTTACGGCACTTCATGCTGTCCTGCTTTAACACTGGTGGTATGAGTAACTTATCATAACTTCAATGATTCAATGACTCAACTGCAGACTGTTTAATGAATGTTAACTAATTATTCAATTGAAAATTTCAATTTTCTTACTAAAAAAATATTCAATTGAAAATTTTAATTTTCATACTAAAATAAGGACTAATAATCATACATAATATTAGGCATATTGTTCATCAAAATAAAGAGACTAGTAACTTAGCACATACAACTTATTAACTAAAGACATATTTAACATCAGTGAAAGAAGTCTGAAAAATTACATGAGCATCTTATAACATGTACATAGTTTACTTGAATCAGAATAACATGATAAAATATTACACAATAAAATATCAAACAATTGTTTCAGATTAACATTTAATTAGTATAAAATTAAATTATTCCTCAAAAGAAATGATTCCATTATTTAATTAATTATTGAGCCTTTAATTAGTAGTAATTAAACAAATAAATTGTTCCTCCCTAGTTTCTCACTCACACACATAAAATTCTAATAGTTGAACTTTTTAAGCTCTTTTCATTTATACAATAAAGCTCTATAAATAATCTAAAAGCACATTTTCTTACTTTTTACATAATTTGCTCCTATTTACATAATTTTTTTAATATAAGCACACACAACTCTGCCATATTAAAACATAGTCTATATCATTAAATGCCTGGTCGAACTCCCAGTGTGGGTACAAGTATACGGTTACCAACGACGATAGGTCCCTGTTTACCACTGCTCTATGCCCGATTGTGCGCTTTTTAGCCCCGGGGTTTTCTGTATTTGTTTTATTGCTGTTTTGATGTAAATGTTTTAACTGCTCTTTGTTTTAAAATTTTTATACTAGCAGCAGAGCCCTATGTCAGGTAACCCCGCAACTCAGACCCCCCTCAGCTGATGGGTGTGCCCATACTGAGCCTACAGAACTTTTCCCGAACTAATGGGGGAGGAGTGCTCCATTGTCCGCCGCTTAGCCATGATAGCACCCTGAGACACCATCACTGGCTGGCCAGCTTGTATAGGCATACCAGCCTGTACTATATGAGGTTTCTGTACAATATACTGTTGACCACCACTCACGATAATGTATGCTCCAGAGGGGCTACCCGCAGGCTGAGGTTGAAGTATCACCTGTTGAGGGACAGCTACCAGCTGAGCTTGAGTGTCATCTACAACAGCTTCTTCAACTACCTCTTCAGGCTGCTCTTCAGGTTCTGACTCCGAGGAAGTGGAGTCTTCATCTGGTTCTCCTAACTCTTTTTTAGCTTGTCTTCTTAACTGCCTGCGAGCATGCTTAGCAGCTTGTTTCTGTAGATGCTTGTATTGCTCTGCTTGCTCCGGGGGTATCACAATGTCTGGATTCTGCTCAGGTTCAGTTTGATCTTTACCTTTCTTTTTTGGCAAAGGGGGTTTAGGTGAAGATTCTTTAGGGGGATCTTTCGGCAATGGTGGTGGAGAGCTACTTTTAGAGGCATCATCTTCAGCATAATCATACTCGCCATATTCATAACCATATTCAGGGTGAGGGCCAGGTGGGCCTGGATATCTTGGACCCATGTAAGGATGTGGTCCCCTTGGTCGGTTCATGTAATGTGATGGTGGACCTCTCCGTCTAGGATCATAAGGACCATACATTCTAGGATCATAAGGTGGTCTCATTCCTCTAAATGGTGGCCTAGGTCCATCCCAATGTCCAGGGCCATCCCATGGACCAGGAGCATCCCAATGATCCCATTGTCCATGCATATAACCAGGTCTTGGGGGTCCAGGTGGACCATGATTAGGTGGGAATCCTCTACCCATGTGAGGAGGAGGTGGAGGAGGGCCTGGCATCTTTGGTCCAATAAATCCACTATCTGTCTCTTTAGGAGCTTCAGTTGGTGGACCTGATGGCAGAGAATCTGAGGACACAGTTCTACTGGCACCTTCACTGAATGGAAGAGGTATATCTGCAGGTAAAGACTCAACAAGTTTAGCAACAGTTTCTCCTACATCAGTTCTGCGTTTCTTTTCTTTCAACTTCTGAAGTTTCTCCTCAGTTCTTTCATCATCTTTCTTTCCAGATAAGTCAGGTAAAGGTATCTCAGATGGGTCAACCTTTTCTTTTACTTCTTTTACTTTTTCATCCTTATCTGATTTCTTTTTAGTTGTAATTTCTTTCTCAACTGGAGGAGCTGATAATGACCTGTCTTTTGAGAAAATCTTTTTTCTTCTATTTTTCCTCCTGGATTTTCTGTATGACCTTGTTCTACTTCTTGACCTACTGCTGTAAGAACTGCTACTGTAAGATCTTGATCTACTTCTTGTGTAAGATCGTTTTCGCCTTCTATGAGATCTACTTCTGGACCGACTTGAAGAATATGAACGAGATCGACTGTAGTCTGAATAGCTTGATGACCTGCCTCTTCGTCTGTGGTAAGATCGCGAACGAGATCGACTGCTAGATCTTGAGTAGGATCTAGAACTTGAGCGTCTTCTTCGATGTCGTGAATGTCTAGAGTCGTCACTGTAATAAGATGACGAGCTATATGACCTACTTCTTGAGCGAGACGAACTTCCTGAATGGGAGTATGACCTATGACTTCGAGATCTTGATCTACTGTGACTAGATGCAGGACTTCTTGATACTTTCCTTGATTTTCTTACAGGTTTATCATTTATATTATTCAATAACTTAGCACTGCCAGCAGATATATTAGACTTATTTGACCTCTGAGATGAGTTCTGATTCACAATTTTCTTGTGTTCATTATCAGTTTTTGCACCATTCTTAACAGAAGGACTTTTCAAATCCTTCAGTATATTAGTCTTTTTAACTCCACCCCTTGCAGATGCACGTTTTCTTAACACCTTTTCTTTTTTCAGAGTTTCATCTAGTGCATTGTCCATATCACTATCACTAGTATCCCATTTAGATTTCACATTATCAGTTGTCTGAGTTTCTATTTTACTCCATGATTCTTCCTTTTCAACTTTGACATTAGCAATCTGAGCAATTGCTGCTATATGAACATTATCTTTAATACCAGAAGCCTTTGGCGTCACCCTAGCCTTTTTTACAGGTGTAGTTGATTCATTCACACTTGATTCACTATTCATTCTTTTCCTATCTGAGGGTGTTTTCTTTTCAGTACTATCAACAGGCTCTTTCTTTATCTTTTTTGGCAATACCTGATTGTTAACTACAGGTGGTTTTTGTCCAACTTTTGTTCGACTCAAAGCCTGCAATTTTGCAACAATTTTATCACTTTCACCATCAGAGTCCCCTTCTGGAAATTTTCGTTTGACAGGTGCAGTAACATCTGACACTTCAGAAACTTCAGTCTTTCCTGCCTCCACTTTTTCCACTTCACTATCACTGCTTTCATCTTTACCACTTTCTTTTCTCTTATGTTTCTTCCTTTTCTTCTTCTTTTTCTTACTTTCTTTGTCTTTCTTTTCATTTTCAGATTCTTTCCCAGAAACACCTGATTCGCCTTTTTCCTTTTCTTTGCTTTCCTTTTCAGCATCAGATTTATCATTTTCACTCTCTCCTTGATGCTTAGACTTCTTCCTTTTCTTAGACTTTTTCTTCTTTTTCTTTTTACTATGTTTTCTTTCATCCTCCCCTAACTTTTCTCCTTCTTCTTCTGATTGTTTACTCTTTTTCTTACTTTTCTTATGCCTTTTCTTTTCTTTATCATCTGCTAATTCAGTATTTTCAATGTTTTCTTTACTAGTGTCATTCTCTTTATCTTCATGTTTTCTTTTGTGTTTCTTTTTCTTCTTTTTACTACTTGTACTTGTTTCTTCACCAACTTTCTTACTTTCATCATCATCAGCAGCAGCATCTTTTACTTCATTTTTATCCTTGTGTTTTTTATGCTTATGCTTCTTTTTCTTCTTTTTATGAGACTTTTTCTTTTCACTATCTGCCTTAAGGGCATCTTCGGTTTTCTGTTCAATTTCTTCACTTCCTTTCTGTTCTGAATCATTGTCCAGTGTCACACTACTTGTACCCTGACCAGCATGACCAGGAGATTTCTTTTTAGTAGAAAACAACTGAGAAAAATCAAAAGACAAAGGATTACAACTGTACATAAGTCTAGGCTCTGTCTTTGAATACTGAATCATTTCTTTTGGCCAATCAAGCACTCTCCCTGAATCATCTTTACTTTGAACCTTAACAAAATCTTCCATTAATATTTTATTTTCTGGCCCTTTCTCTTCCTCTCTCTCACTTTTACACTCATCTCTCTCACTACCCTCCAAACTTCCGGTTGTACTGCCATTCTCTATCTTCTCTATTCCACCATCTACTGCATCGTTCACGTCTGTTTCTGGTTTGAGTAGCTTGATCTCCACTGGTGAGGCTCTCTTCTCCTCTCGACGGACTGGTATAAACGGCTGTGTATTGACAATCCGAGAACCATAATTCTTTTTAAAGCTGAATGATACATGGCCTGACTTGTTATCATGACTTAAATAAAAAGCAAGAAAGAAAGTTAATAAAAATCTGTTTCCCATAATACACCTACAATATAAAACCTGCCAATTATATATGGTCAATTGTTTTGACTAGTAAGGTTGTGAAAACTGCATCAGAGGATAAGTAGATTGTAATCAGTGTTTGAAGATATTTTTTTGGTCCTAACAAGCTTAAGGATTATAATCTAAATGATCTTTTACTTAGCTAAACATATGAGTAACAATTTAACTTAATCATCATTAAAACACACCAATGAAATCATTTTACAAATAACAGTTTATATATAAATAACTAAAAAGTTACAGCAGAAAAGTACACTAGTAGTTAATTCTCCCTTTCATTGACTTTCGTCAAAGCTTTTTAGATTTGCTTTATAGTTCTGTATTAGTGAATATCAAGTTTTGAAACAATAATAACAATGAACAATTAGATTATAAAGCTTACCTTGGAGACTTGTCAAGTCTTTTTGTAAGTAGACTGGCACCGTGACTCTGAATGTCTGACTGTTTTATCGCCTGAAATAAAGAAAAATATGATGTACCAGTCTGTCTCCATTTTATCATAAGAACAATGATAAATCTGCTAAAGGACCTTCCTTGCCACAAACATAAACAAGAAGAAAGCAAGTTCTTTCCAGTAGCATGCATTAGTACAAAAAATATCTGTAGTCAGGATTTTCTTCTACTCTGATCATGTGAATTTTACACTGATTATGTGTGACTATTTATAGAACAGCATCTGTAAGGGAATTGTGGGTCTGTTTAAAACTAGGTCAAGGTCAAGGGAGTACAAGGTCACTGAGTGCATAAAAGGTAAAAAAAATCAAGATGAAATGTGTGATGAGAAGACGAAAACACGCCATATTTTTTTTTTTATCTGCCAGCTAGATACAGAGTATATACAGTTTAATGTTCTGTTATTACATGGCTATCAAATTTAGGTTACAACAAACCATCACCAAAGATGTACAAAAACGTCTAAAACTGACAGGGGCAATCCAAAGTGTTTCTTAGCCTTTGGTCAAATCTGCTATAGAAGTCATCATTTGTTTTTTAGGCAGCCATAGTGTCTTATGCTACACTACTTTATGGCTATGCGCTTCATCAAAAGAGCCCTCTAGGCTAAAAAAGCCAAATAATTAGAGGCTTCCCTTTTTTCTAGCCTTATAGCCCTGAATCATAATAACTCCTATAACATCACATGACTGGTCTTCATTTACTTTGTTTAATAAAATAAAATATTTCATTTTGTTTTGATTTTTGTTGTTTTTAATTAAAATATAAATTCAAAACTAAAGAAAGTTTTTATCAGATTTCGATACTCGAGGTGGAATGTACAAATGGTATCATTTTAAAAATTACAACTTTTTGCCATTACAATGAAATCTAGAAAGTATGTAACAATCATACTTATATTTTAGCATATATAACAATAAATAATAATAATAAAACTTTAAAGACATAAGAATAGCCAAATAATATATCAAGTCTTCGAAAATTATTTATCCATATAAAATGTTAAAACTTTACATCTAAAAATCAGCTTGACATGTTTTTTATAGACACATACAAAATTCTGACATAATGTGCTTTATATGGGGGATTCATTATTCACAAATGTTAAAAAGCAGTTAAGTGGATCACCTAATGTTGAAAATAATACACACAAACTGACTTCTTAATAATATATGAATTCTTATCTTAACAACAAAACAATGCTTTATCAAAGAAAATAAATATGGAATCCGTCTTTGAACAAAATCAATGATTAAATACTATAACTATCTTGATTGCAGAGAAAAAGTTGTTTTTATGGTTTATATATGCATTCAAAAAGCTGCTATCCCTAAAATTAAAATTGGATATAATCAAAGTAAAAAAATTCATGCTTTACAGCTAAAGCCTTAACTGCTTTTTTTCACAGAAATGATTAACTTTTATTTTTGGTTATAAATTAAAGACAGCACACAAGGTTTCTATCATGACAAAAACATAAATTTGCCCACCAATTTATGAGACTCTTTCCTATATTCTTAACAATGTGTGAACTGTTTATTAAATCTAGCTCTAATTGTGCAAATGTTTTGTCAGAACTTTGAAGTGTGCTGTTTTTCTTACACAATGATATCATATAGTACAGACTCCACCTGTCAATCATTACACATTTGGACCGCCCCTTTCTATAAATAAACCAATGAATATGCAAACAGTGATAATAAACAGATAGCAACACACACAGCAAATAAGCAGGACCATTTACACTTGTTACGCTTTTAAACAGGCAATAATAGCAGAAGATAGAAAAATATCGAGAACTGCATTCCGTACTAACAAATGCACGCCGTGCAATACACGAGCGTACATCTTGGTTAGAAATATAACCAGTGATTACTATATATAGTTACGCAGCTTTTTAGACAGCTCCCATTTTTATAGGGCATTCCTGAAACACAATTGAACGGCAGTTTTACAACAGCTGTGAATAATGATTGGTTGAAAAAATATGATCATATGATGCATTTAACAGTATTATCCTGAACATCTACACCAATATCTCTCTAAAAATGTGCAAGTACGTTCTCTCAACCAAAAATACTTGTATTGTTAATATCAAATTTTAAAGAAGTCGAAAGTTCAATACAACTGGAGTTAATCATGACAAAAAATATATAAATCATGTTGGAATAAAGCTATTGATGTAATAATTACATTTAAAGTAATTACATAATTTTCATATTTTTGTATTATTATTTGAATTGGAATATGGAACAATATATTTTTTCCTTTACAGACTCAACAGTTTAAAATAAGAACAAATTTATATGCAACAAAAATAAAACTGCACTCCAATAAAGTCATAATTAGAAACAGCATTTTTTTCTTCATTACAACGTCTATAAAATGACTTTTATACTTTTGCTATTTAGATCTATTTTTATCTAAAATTACTGTTTTTTTTTTACTGTTTTAAAAGATCTGAGGTCAAATAATTATGTGAAAAGATACAGTTTCAGTAGCTAAAAGTCTTGTGCACTTAAAAAGCAAGAATGAACATTAAGTTATCAAGCCTTTCAGTTTTTACGACCCTTTCTTCCATTCTAATTTCAGAAATTGAAAAAAAAAATCATAAGGAAACTGTGTACTTCCACATATGTATATATATGTATACTAGTAATTAATTAAAGATCACTTTAACAAAAAGAAGGGTTTGTTAATTGCTCTAATATGGAAGTGTATTTAGCTGTGGTGTTCAAGCGATCTAGATCTAGAACACTATAAGTAAATCCCCTTTCACTCTGATTATTTGCATGCAAAAATAACCCTACCTTACTGTCAGTGTATTAGAATTTTACACAAAAGGTAAAAAATAAACTGCACATTGTTTAAGGTGCAATGAAATAAAATGTGTACAAAATCAATTTGGAAGATTATAATCTTCTTAGACTCAGATGAGCAAACTAAAATGCTGGAATAGTAAAAACAAGGTCTATCTACATACACTGATAATACTTTGCTGAAATGTCATTGCTATAATGTTAAAATTTTCATATAAGTCCAAGATGGTTGACGGTTATCAAATCAAGTCCAAAATAAAAGTTACCATTTAACTCAACATAGCCCCAAATTTCACAACCACAAACTTATGTTTATCCCATACTTTTTCAACTCAATTAAACCCCAAATTTCATTATCATATTTTTGTTTTATTTATTTTAACTATAGTAATGCTGACCATCAAGTATACAATAAAAATATCTTTTAATACATTCTTTGGAAGGAAGTGTATCAGTGTATGCAAGAAGAGAATCCTGTATTCCTTACTGAATAAAGAATTACCTTGGAGACAAAACCTTGAATAAAGCTTAATACAAGAAGCTGTTACTGTTAATATTTTCCAACATTTTTGGCAATTTAACCACACATAGAAGTTCAGTGTTCTTACTCTAATAATAATCAATTAAAATAAAAGACAAAATAAAATGGAAACCAACTTGAAAATATATAAAGTTTTAAGCTGAAAAATAAGTTGAACTTTCTTAATTTACAATGTGGTATGAAGTGGTTAAGTTGCCAAATGTAAAGCTAGGCTTTGATAATAACAGTGCATTTCTTATCAAATCAAACATTTGACTAATCGTTGATTCAAAATTGCGTAATATGGGCTTAATCTTTTAGTATGGGCTTAGCATGCCTATGTAGACAAAGACAACTTCATTTTTGCCAAAGAAAAGACAAGAGCACCTGATCAATGCTTTGATTTTATGCAAATTCAGAAAAAAATGCAAAGCAGTCTAATTTTCTATACTTTCATAAAATGAAACATAACTTGATGATAAGTAGATAATAGACTAAATAAAAGATTTAATTATCAAAGCCTTTCTGTGCAGTTGGTGTAAATAAAAAAGGATAAACATTGTTTTTCTTGTGACTAACACATCCCTTCAACATAACACAAACCAATACAAAGAATTGCTAATAAGACATACATCATTATGTACTATAACACCTGGCAAAGATAAAATTTGACAGATATGAGGTAAATAGAAATAATCACTAAAATCCTCATGATTTTTTTTTTTTTTTGGTCAATTATCAATTATCAGATAAAAACTTAACTAAACTTTAGTCTTTGAACTGGCTTAAAACAAGGAGATCTTAAGACTTAACTCTTATCCCAAATGTATACATAAGGTACCAATGTCATTAATTACATTAACCCTTCGTCTGCCACCTTGGTAAGGCATATCAATGCCATCTGATCATGGTCTGCACTGTTCACTATTCAGTCAGTACAATTTTCTAAAATTTCCCTAAAATGATTAATGGTTTTGCCCAGACTGAAAGATGGAACAAGTACATTTAGCAGGGCAAGGGTTAAGGTAATTACTACAGACATTGTATTTAAGTTTTTTTAATTCTATTTTTTTCGTTATAAACATTTTGCAGCATAAAAATGTTTATTTCTATTGGTAAAAGTAGACCAAAATTTCTTGGAAACAAATTCAGGTGCGGAAACAAAATGATGTATGTTTAAAACAAAATAATAGAGGAGGAAAAGGTTATGCATGGAACTGCTAAATCTCAACATTAATAATATACCACTGTTTTGTATTACCTAGGCTACCCTGGCAAGAAACTGTGTTACAATTTATACATGAAAACAAATGGCTCGTCTTACATAACAATATTCTCACAAAAATCTGACTTTAAAAAGAGTATAAACAGAACAAATAAGAGATTTTTTTTTTAAAATGATCAACATTCAATATCATTTATTTTAGATGTTTCAAGAGGTTAGTGAAAAGATTAATATTTTTAGCACTTTGTGTCCTATATCACAAAAAAAGATAATTTTATAAAAATAGCTTGTTTTTAAAACAACAACAACAAGAGCTAGATAAGTTGATATATTTGGACATTTAATGGAAATGTCAACACATAACAAGGCGTTACACACTAGCAATAATATAAACCATGCATAATAGATAATATAATATTAGGAGGCCTGTGTAAAC